TTAAAATTTTATTAGAAAAATTTAAAATTTAAAAAAGTTTGCAGGCAAATTTGGCTGCAAAACAATTTAAGGGATATATAATACCTGGTTCGTATAATATAGATCTAAAAATTGGCCTATATTATACTAATTTGCCCACCTATACTATACTAATCAGCAAAATACTTATTTTTCAGCTGATTCGGTTAAATTATTGATTTCAGGATATAAAATTAATATATTATCATTATTGATATATTATATAATTTAAGATCAAGTAACCAATATAAATATAAAATGTGATACTTTTGAAGCAACTTCGCTGAAAAATTATTGAAAAATTTAGAAAGCCTACCTTTTCGAAAAATTGCCAAACACTTAAGTGTTGGCATATTTTCTGTGAGCCAGGTTCTAAAACACTTTCAAAAATATGGATATGTTGAAAAACTTCTGTCACTTTCAGAAAACCATGTTCACTATTAAGGTAATATGAATATATAAATTTTTTATTTTGATTTCGCTTATTAAAATTCTTCACTTGGTATTCTAACCTGAGATTTATTTTTAAACTAGTCGACAAATTCATATTCATAATTAATTTTTTTAACAGTAGCATCTGTTCATGTAATAAAAGCCTAATTTATATTTGGGTCTTTTTCAAATTTCTTATTAAGGTTTATTGGTTGACAAGAGCATGCCAAACATGTTGAACAGGTATTTGAACATTATTGTTAGAGATTGTAAAATTAACATTATAATACAAAAATAGCTTTTATTATTTTTATTATTATATGGATTATGCCGAGTTAATAGCTTAGCCAAATTAGCTGAAAAATCATTTATCAATTTTTATCAATATGTTCCAATTTTAATAATCAGAAATGTTTAAACTAACCAAGTGAATTACCATTTTGATCAACAAAATCTATTAAATAAGTGACATACTTATTTCAAAAGAAATGTATATACAGATTTTATTTTTTAAAAGTATATACCATTAACTTAATACAAGAAAGTACAAGAACTTAATGATATCGAAAATGTAATTCTAACTCTGTATGTACCAGGAAATGTTTATCAAAAAAAAGCCAATTTTATCCCCGCTTATCTCTATGCCTATTTTCTATTGAATAAAATTTAATACGCATTTACACAATAAGACTTTAACAAGATTTTTTAATTAACTTCAATTTGAGCTATTACATCAGAAAATAATAGGTCTTATGTTGATTAATGAGTTATACATAAAACTATAAAGATTTTATAATTAACACTAACATGTGATAACTCTTATTTAAATTACTCCCAAGGGTTTAAAGAGTAGAACTTATAGAATTTTACAATTTTATATTATATTTGTTATAACAAATATTTAAACCAGGTAACCAAAACTTCTTACCTTGTTTATAATTTAGATTCATTTATTTTCTATATCTGAAATACTAATCAGAGAATTTTATCCATCCCAATTTTTGATCTGTGATTAGGAATAGACAATTATACAATATCGTATAAAAAAAATAGTATAATAACCATATAGTTGGTATAGTATAATTATAATTATACTGTATAATTGGTATAATATAGTTGTTAACAAGATTAATTAATAAAAATTTTTTTATTATTAAAAATTGAAAATCACGATAATAATATTACTAATACTGTACAAGATGAGAAAATGAAAAACTACAGTATGAAAATATTGGATAGTTCTTATAGAAAATTCAGATAAAAATCAGAATAATAATCAAACTAATAACCAAAATAAAGACCAAGCTGAAGATCAAGATAAAGACCAAGCCGAAGATCAAATAGAATATCAATTTGAAAATAATAAACTACATCCTCCTGTAAAATGCAAATATTGTTTAAAAAAATTTGATCGTGAAATTGCTACTTGAATACAGGCACATTTTAATAATGATTGTTTGGGAGCACCAGAAAATGCTAAAACAAATTTTAAATCTCAAAAAAAAATTTAAACAAATATATCAATACCTTATACTTCTACTAGTTCACATACTCCAAAAAGGTTAAAAACTATACCAATTAAAAATTTTCTAGATAATATAGATGAAGAAGAACAGGAATCTCTTGAATTTATGTTAGTACAAGTCTTGTTTGCAACAGGAGTATTATTTTCTTTTCTTGAAAATCTTTATATGATTAAATTTTTTTCAATACATTTGCCCTGCATTTAAATTACCAAATTGGAAAAAGCTTGCAGATGAATTAGTAGATAAGGTTTATAAAGATGTAAAAAAAAGAATCTGATAAACAAATTTTAGAAGCACAAAGTTTATATATGGTCTCTGACAGTTGGTCTAATATTAATCAAGAATCTGTACAAAATTTTATTGTTTGTACCCCAAAGTCTTTTTTTTTGAGGCTATTTACTCACGAGAAGAATCACATACAGCAGAATGGATTGCTAATCAAATAATTTGTCAAATAAAAGCAATTAATATTGAAAAATTTTCTGTAGTTATAACAGATACAGCTAATACAATAAAAGCAGTATGGTGTATTATTGAAGAATGATATACTAAGATAGTTTGTTTTGGATACACTTCTCATACTTTAAATTTATTAATTAAGGATCTTTTAAAAATTTTCGATATAAAAACCATAATAGATAATGCAACAAAATTGGCCAAATACTTTAAATCACATCCACAATTATTAGAAAAACTTAAATGAATTCAATCGGATAACTATAACAAAGAAATTGCCTTGGTTTTACCAGTAATAACATGATGGGTACTCATCTTAAATATCTTCAATTACTTCAAAAATCAAAAATCGCAATAGAACAAACATTAATAGATGTAAAAATTTGTGAAACAATAGATGCAAGTCTTAGAGTTTATGTATTATGCAATAAATTTTGGGATGATCTAGACTTGATAACAAGTATTTTACAACCAATTGTAGCTATATTAAAAATATTTGAATTAAATAGTACTACACTTTCATCTGTTTACTCTAATTTTAGAAAAAATGATAAATATAATTCAAAATATTCCATACAATTTTTATGACAAAATTCAAACTTGTATTGAGGCATGGTGGAATTATGTTTATTATAATGGTTTTTTACATACTTGATCTGCGATTTTTAGAAGAAAGCAGAATTCATGATATAGAGGCTATAGGATATAATACATTTACAACATTTACAACTCAAAAATTTGGACAAAAAAAAGTTCTGTAGAATTATTTATTGAAATTGTTAAATTTCGAAACAAAAGTTCTCCATATAATGATGATATTATTTGGGAATCCACAGTTAAACTTAATCCAGGTAATTTTTTTATTATTTTATATTACAGGTGCAGCGAAATGGAAATTATCCATTAATATTTTCATATGAAGGCAAATTGGTAAACGT